CAACCTCAGATTTGGGCAGCGCTGTAATGGATCTCCAAAAAGCGGTCGCGTTCTTGGAAAGGGGACTGCAGCAGTCGTGCTGTTTCGAGCCAAGGAACAAAATGCTCTTTGCCCATGTTGCTCCAATTTGCCTCCTGCGAGCATTGGAACAGCTGACTTACATGAGGCAGGGACTGCAAAGGTACCGCACAGCCAACTTTAATTGTTCATGGCGAATTGTTTTTGCCTGGGTTGTGGAGACTTCTTGATTGAATTTGATTGATGAGTTTTATAATTGAAGGTTGTAATTCAGGACAAGTCATTACTTGTAGTTCTGGTCCATCAATCGTTTCAGCGACAAGTTGGGATTTCTTTGTCTCTTGTGCCTCTCTTGTAGCGTAACGTTACTTGGCCACTCTGCTGCGAAGGCTGACGAACAAGGAGTTGACATGCATCTTGGCAGTAGCATCAGAAATGAAAGGAGATGCAAGACTTATTTGTGCAATTTGATACGAAGCTTGCTTTGAGACGCTTGGAACTTGGAGCATCAAGGAATCGAGGCTTTTTGCATTTCCAAGGCCTTACTCAGCATCGCACCCACAACGTGGGGAATGGTAGCTTTCCCCAATTTTGACATGCACCATTCTATAGCGGGATTGAAGTATCTCATGGTCGACAGTGACCCCTGGGTTTCTCCGACTAACATTAGATTTTGGAATCTGTTCGACTGCATGGCCACTGAATGGCATTGAGGCCCCAATGCGTTCTGGGAGCGGTCACTTCCGCTGCACCTTCGCGAGTTTGAAAGACAGGTCTTTGATAAAGCCTTGGTGTCTTGGAATGAAATGACCAGAAGTGAGAACAAGACTTGTTTTCGAAAATGAGCACTTCAATATGAGACACAGCTGATTCTTCAAATTCGCCATTGAACAGAAACTGCAACAGAAACTGCATTTTTGGATGTGTCCGTGAGCTGAACGCTCAACGCCCAGGCCAGGGATGCAGGAAAGGTGGTCGAGACAGCAGCAGGGCCGCGGGCGATGGCGGAGTGTATGTGGATTGATAAGTGCCTTGGAGGAAATGGGTCCCAAAACGGAGGATATACTATGATTTACCATCATTGTATGGCCATGAAATAAGGGGGGCAACATCTTTTTCTCCGAAAATTGGAAATTCTTGGGACCCTGCTTTCATTTTGAGCTGATTTCATCCTTGTGGGACTTGAAGGGTGAAGGGTCAGCAACAAAAACTTGGGATGTTGGCTGAAACTGGGGGGAAAGCCGTACAGGTGTTTTGACGTTAAATGAGGCCAATAATATGTTGTTTTCATTGGGGTTTTCTTGCACAACTTACATCCAGATCATGCTTGGATTGATGCAACTTATTAAGGACACTGGCTGAAGATACGAATATTGTAGATGCGTTGCAGCGGCTGTCAGCTCCGATATTCATCGCAGGAGAGTGGAGGTTGGTAGTGGGCTGTTGTAGCATTTAATAACCATCAAAATCATGATTGTTTAATTCACTATCACCAATCAATGTGGCTATAGGCGACAGGTTAAAAAAAAAAGCAAAATTCCCAAACATTCCAAAAGGTGTCTGATCAAAAGCCCTTTTGTTGCGGAAGCTTCTGTGCAGCCAGAGCATGGCATGTTCACATGTTCACACCACCAATGATCCAGAAATCTTCATGCCAGTTGCCCACTCTCAGGAGATTGCCCGCGACACCACTTCGAGAGAAATAAAAAGAGAAGTGGAAAGAATTTCATGGTCTGCTCGGCCGCATTTGGTCTAGAAGAAAGCGCAGTAAAAATTCAGTACTCCTTCATTGCGCATCCTTCGTGATTCAGCTCTCAGGTTGTTGCGAAAGTCCCATTGAATCTGCTTCCAAGAACTAAGTCTGTGGCTTTTCTTCTCCAACCTTCGCCACAACAGGGTGCTCAAAAATTTGATGCTTCATCATCAGTTTCCTTTCCCTATTGGCCACAGATTAAGGGCAAACCGTAAATCCCACATGGGTTGTATATCATATATATTCTATGTATCGAAGAACCTATAGATATGATCATATCTCCCGGAAATGCTGGCATATGCCCACAAAATGCCACTCGTATCATGTGGCTTGCACATTTCAAGTATTTTCAACCCCTCCATGCAGATCACAGATCGAATATTTCACCAAGAATCCATCAATGACTATGACGCTATTGGTGAAACAAATTCCCTTCAAAAAACCAGTTATAGCCCCATGAAAAATCCATTGACGTTCCCTTCTGATTTTTGGGATCCAAAAATGGCACCGGAATCCACCAGCTTTCCCGGCCAGGTGCCCAGCGACTTGCGGAACTGGCTTTGCTTAGGTGCCCCGAGTCGCGACGCGACTCGGCGTTTCCAGCAACTGCTGACGCTCTCGGCCTACTGTTTTCAGGACGAAAAATGGGTGAGATGGAGAAAGCAGTGGGAAAATGAATGGGAAGGGGATATCTGGGAATATAAACTGAAACAATATAATTTAATTTATATATATATATATGTATGTATACATGTTATGAAGCAATCATGGAACATTTAAGACGATCTTGATACGTCGATGATATTTTAGACATATACATAATATATATATATATATATATATATAGACATACACGTACACATGCATAGTGTTTTTTTCAGCACGTAGAAGTGTCCTGGTTCGTTGCTTTGATCCCAAGATGCTGCAACCCAAGATGCTTCTTCAGTGCTTAGGCGTTATCCCTGAAGCTGGTGATTATTTGATCTTAATTTTGGGAACGGATCTGTGATCCATCAGGGCCTGAGGTTGCAACCATCAACCAACCATCATTCCTGGCTAAGTACTGATTTTTTTTTCAGCCTTTCCGTGGGTTTCATGGTAGGGTCCCCCTGGTAGGGTCTCCCACCGAAGGGTGGATAACCGTTAGCCACAGGACATCACGAGTCTCGAGGATGTGGAGGGATGTCCACTGCTGCTGACCAGGTCCGGAGAAGTGAAGACCTTCCAAGAAACCGGCGAGCGAAGCTCGGCGAGATTTTATGTTGAGATTTCGTGCTGTGGCGAAACCATGTCAAACTTGCATCTATATGGGTATGGGCCAATACCTATAGATACATTTTTAGTGGGATGAACATCCATTTACCAGCTATTTTGGGGTTCACTAGGTACCAGGGTTTTGACCCATCCCCATATGATTGCCATGCTTTCATCTTCAGCTGTCACGACATTTGAGTGTTCAACAACTCCGTTGGTTGATGAACGTTTGGGGATTATTGCTAGCCAATGGGTTGGGAATTCTCACAATCCATTACACAGGGTTTTGAACACTGCTCATTTAGCTAGAATAGATTCGTAAGCGGGAATTCCATTTTGACAGATCTTTTGGGCGGCATGTTGAGATCGCAGAAAGGTAGGCAAGCCTTGCCTTCCTTGCCTTGAACCCACGTTTGAAACACATGCCGGGCGGCACACTATACCCGGTTGTAGTCGTTTGATGTTTGCATCATCAGTCGGGTGGAATTGGGCTGTACTCTTGGCAACCAGATGACTTTACAGAAAACACAACGCACCAGAGCAACGTCAGCATCTGGATCGAAAATGGCCTGCAGCTAAAACTTTACCTAGTGATTGCAAATGCTGGCGTTTCATGAGTTTCGTACAGTGAAAATTCTTGTTGGAAGGCCCTGCAACTGTTCACCGCCTGGTTGAGACCCTTATCTGCATTGCGTTCTCAGGATATATCTTCTGCCCGCGCGAAGACTCTGAAGACTTCCAGTTGTCCGAGCATCTGCCTCCAGAACACTTTCTACATCCCGAGGCTGTTTTTCGCTGCAGGGTGTCGTTGATAGGAAACTACTTCTGACGTCTTCTGCTGTTGCCTCACGTTCTTTTTGTAAGGAAGTGCCCTTTCCGGTCAAGCCCCCGCTTACAAATCTCCAGGTGAGGGCAGAAGTCCTACTGGAACATCCGCAGATTGAGCTCTTGACCGCAAAAGTATTGGCCAAGTTCAGTGCCAGCCCCTCCAGGGAATTCTCTGCAGCATTTTGGCAGTGGCTTCCCCGCGCCATGCAGCGTCAGCTGTGCCCTGGTTTTCCAGATCCACCACTGTCGCAGGTCAGGACTTGCAGTGGGCTGTTGAGGATCATAGGTGGGAAGGGTACCCCAACTCACTACTTCACTGCAACGTTTGATCGCTTGTGCTGCTTGTGCTGCTTGTGCTTTGCCCCTGAGGATCACATCTTGGACAATTTGCAGGTCCTCCCAGGCTTGGATTCAGATGACTTGCGGCCGTTGAGGGAGAGAAAGCGCGCATTGAAGAAGTCAAGGGGTGCCTCTGAGGCGCTCGTGGAAGCGTTGGTCACCTGTGGCGCCCTCTTGGTTTCCGAAGATGTGCCATGTTGCCCCTCCTGCGAACTTCCCGATGCTGTTGCCCGTGCGTTGGCCTATGCTCTTCGGGAAGCCAGTCGCACATCTCAGGTGGTCACAGCAGTGGCAGCCAGGGATCACCTGATTCAAGTGCTGCGAATGGAAATTTTGGAGAAGCTGTCTCAGTCAAACTTGCCTGAAGCCCTTGAGGTTGCAGGGTGGGGTCAGGTGGCTAACAGACACAGGATGAAAACGTGGAGAAACTCATCATTTATGCAATAGTGCGCATGCGGGTATGGGGGATGTGCAAGGGTTTCTAGGACGCATTGCTTTTCCTTCCAAACAAGTCACTGTATCAAGATTTGGGCAATTTTGGGCATGTGGTTGAAAGTCCCCCGGCATTTGAGAGACTCTGCTCCGGATGTCTTCATAGGTTTTCCATGGTTTTCCCCTGCAGCCAGGTGGCTTCCGAGCTCCCCATCTTCCGCACCTGGGCCGGTGGCTTCGAGTTGCCGACCTCCAAGAAGTTGATGCCAGAGCTGCCAGCCTCACTGCGGGAGGCCCTTACTGGGCGACTGCAGCTGGATGCGCTGGATGAGAGCCGCCCAAGCCTCGTTGCTCTGCTGGAGAGGATGGGGTTGGAGCGCCTGAGTATTTCGGAGGTGGCCAGAGAGACCCTGCAACAGAGCAAGGCCCCCGAGGTGATGGCTGCACTCCTGCGTGCCAACTTGTTCGAAGCTTTCCGGGATGTTGAGCTCTTTGTCACACAGGGAGGGCAGCTCCTGAAGTCCAAGTCCTGCTTGCTTTGGGACTGTGAGAGTGAGTTTGACTTCATTCCGCGAAGAATGGATCAAAAGCTGGCAACGAACTTTCAGGATGTGAAGGCCCAGCTCAAGACTCTGGAATTCCGCACAGAGTTAGATCTGCAGGACGTCTTGGATTTGGCCAAGCAAGCCCAAGACACTGGCGACGTAGCCCTGTCGCAGAAATTGATCCAGCGTTTGGACCATCATCGTCACATGGAGAACATTTGCGCATCTGAGGAGTTGCGTTCTTTGAAGTGGCTGCCAGCATCACGACCAAACTCTACCAATCTGGAACTGATGGCTTCAAATGAAGGAGTTTGGCAGCACAAAGCAAAACCTTGGGTGGGTCTGGTGAAACCTCTGGTAGATGCACATGCTTCTGAAAGGGTGCTCAATGCTCTCACGGTTCCCGGGGAGAAATGTGTTGATGATGCTGTTTTGTATGAGCAGCTGGCAGCCTGCATCAAAAGCGAAGGCGACCAAGAGAGCAAGGTACAGATGATCACTCCCATCTACCAGCGTTTGAAGAGCACTCCAGCAATTGACAAGTGGGTATGGACCGCACGCGGCTTTCAATCCCTTGTGCATATCTCCAAAGATCCTGATGTAGAGGGGCTGACCCCATGCCTTCATCGTTTGAGGGACGATTGGCATTTTCTCCCAGTCTTTGAGAGTGCAAACAAGAAGCTCACACCAGAAATGCTTCTGAACTGCTTGGACATGTCTGTCGAAATTCCATCAGAAATTCGGCACAAGGTGCAATTGACTGCCATCAACTTGCTGACGCACAGAGCATCTGAGGGTTCTGAGCCGCCAAAGCTCTCTGATCTGGCTCTGGCGCGTGGCTCGACATTGCGAATCATCACCAGAGAGGGCAATCTTCTCCCGGTGACGAGTGTCTTTTTTCATGACATGAAATGGCAAAGTCGCAGCGAGTGCCCACCACAGATGGAAGAGGTCCACGAAGACATTTCCCAGTCATCCTGTTTGCGGTTCGGAGTGCGGAATCTTTCTGAAATTGTAGCTGCACAGTGCGATTTTGGAGAAGGGGATTGGCTTGAGGTGACTGGTCAACAAGAATCACTCACCACCAGATTGAAGGGAATCCTCAAGGACTACCCTTGGCAGTCTCTTGTGAAAGAGATGCTGCAGAATGCTGAGGATGCTGGGGCTTCTGTCTTCAAAATTCTCATCGACCGTCGACCCCGTGGAGAAGAATCCTTGCTGACACCGGAGATGGCTGCTTTGCAAGGCCCTTGCCTCTGGTTCTTCAACGATGCAGTCTTTCAAGACAAGGATTTTCAACGCCTAGTGAGTTTGGGGCAAGGGAGCAAATCTGAAGAGAAGGGCAAAATCGGAAGACACGGGCTGGGCTTCAACGCAATTTTTAACATCACGGACGTTCCTTCTGTGCTGAGCCGCCAGCGGTGAGCTTAGCTGCTATAGCTGCTTGCTTTTTGAATGTGTGAAAGTGGATTTGTATATGGCGATGGGTCAAAACCAAGCGGTTCCCTGGGTTTTCGCACCAAAATAGCTGGTAAATCGATGTGCATCCCCCAAACATGATTTATAGGTCATATAGGTGTAGCTACCATTTTTTCACAAGTGAAGAAACTTCTTATCAGACGGTTTCTCCTGGATTCTCTGTGCTCTGTCCTGCATGGGTCTCGCCCATCACAAGTGGCTTGATCAGTTTTGAAATGTTTGACTCGTCAGCATCTGGCATGTCGTGTTTGATCTCAGGTCGATTCTTTTCCTAGACCCTCATGTCCACCACTTGAAGAAGCTTGGTGCCACGACGGAGAAACCTGGCATTCGGCTCAACTTCCAGAAGAAGAACATCAAGACCACATGGCCCGATCAGTTTGAGGCCTATGAGATTGAAGGGTGCAACCTCTCAAGTGGAGATTTTGATGGAACCTTGATCCGTGCGCCACTTCGACGGGCAACTGCAAACAGTGCAATCAAGAATGAATGTGTAGGGGAAGAAGAGATTGCAAAGATCATCGATCTCATTTGCGATGATGGCCATCTCTGGCTCTTACTTTTGAAGAGGGTGACAAAGATAGAAGTGGTTGACCTACAGACCCAAACAACATGTTGTGTTCATGAGCGGCACATGGAGAAAAAGCTCGTGTCTATGCACATCTCGGGGCATGTGGAGCAATCGCTTGTGGCAATCCGCAGCAAGTTCACTGTGAATTCAGGCACAATGGAGAAATGCAGGACATATCAGCTTTCCAATCAGTCAGAGGTGAGCGTGGCACTGCCGCTATGTCCAGAAAGTGAGTCTGAGCCAGGTCGTGTGTTCAGCAGGTTGCCTATGGGGATGGAGTCCGGTCTGGCAGCTCATGTTTCTGCATTGTTCTGGACATCTGCGGACAGAAGAACCATTGTGCTTGACCTCCACAAAGACCTTGAAGGGTGGGCAAAACGGAACCATCAATACTTGAAGCAAATTGCAGGATGTGTAGTAACCTCAATCGCCAAGCAGACAGATGAGAAGAAGCAGACCCTGTTGCAGTTCTTTCCGCGCTCCGAGAAACCAAGCCCAGTAGCAGAGGTGCTTTATGATCTCTTCTACCAAGAAGTGGTGCAGGAATGCCGCAAAGGCCCTTCTCAAGTTCTGTTCACGGTTTCTGAAGAAGCTGCCTTGGCATCAGCTGGTTCTATTCTGTTGGTGAAGAATGACTCGTGGCCACAGGCACTTAGAGAGCTACGAGCACCTTTGGTCAAGGTGAGTGAAGATGTCTTTCAGAGCCTTGTGAAGAAGGATTCAAGTCTGTTTCGAGAGCTGACCCCGGCAAACTTGAGAGAGTGGCTCAAACGTCTTGACCCCTCGCTTGATCATGTTTGCAATGAGCAGCTCTTGCAATTTTGTTTGGAAGACAAACCATCCCCTGCGGATTTGGCAGGATGCCCGCTGATCTTGAAGCTGGATGGTGGAGTGAGTCGCTTTCTTGGACATGTAGATGAGGGTTCACCACGATTTCTGTGCTGTTCCAGCCAAGAAGAGTGGCAGCTGGCCCAACACTTTCCTGCCAGTTCCGTTCTGAAGTTTGTATCAGGCGAAGCTTTGCAATCTCATCCGCAAATCTTGAAAATGGATCTTTGGAGTGTCGCGACACTTGGGAGGGAAGCCTGTGGAAAGGACTTCGTTCAGTCTTTCTGGCCGTGGTTCAATCTGTTCACCGCCAGGGACCCTTCTGCAAAGTTCACAGATCCGCCCTTTGCAGAGCATCCTTTTGACTGCCTTCATGTTCTAGAGGCAACTGAACATGGCCAGAACAAGACCTTCCAGTTGCTGGAACGAAAGAGGGCCTTGAGCTCTTCGTCAGATGTGTCGCAGGAGCTTGCCAAAGGCTTGGAGGCTTGCAACGTCTTGCTGGTGTCTTCCACAGCCCCTGCTGGCGCACATGTTTGTCCAGGGGTGAATCCAGATTCTGTTGCTCGTGCTGTGCGCTCTGCTATCTGCATGAAGAACCTTCAAAATCCATTCCATGCAGGAAACACTCCGTTGGGAAGCTGGCGGGCAGTTGCAGCGAAGCTGGCCCTTTCAGGCCTGCCTGAAGCCATCGACGCTGCCCGATTTTTGCCAGCTTTTCGCCTCTGGGGCAGAAGTCAAGCAGTGCATCCTGGTGGCAAAGAGATGTTTCCTTGCTGTGCCACTAAAGCTCTACGAGGTGCTCTTCGTCCAGTTCAGCTGGACATTTTGGATGAGGAAGAGCCAAGGCTGGTGGAGCTTCTGCAGAAAATGGGTGTCAAAGACATGCCTTTGAAGACAATTGCTGATGAGGCTTTGCGTCAAAGTCACGACCTCACCTTGATTGCACAACTTGTGAGGGCAATGAAAGAAGCTGATCTCAGAGAAGCACTGAAAGGACAAAAGATTTTTCCAGGTCCTTGCGAAAACTTGCTGACCCTGGAGGAATGCTTACTGTGGGGCCAGGAACTTGACTTTGAAGTGATCCCACGCCGCATGTGTGGAAAGGCAGGCGAGCAGTTCAGGGGCTTGGAAGGGAAACTACAGGAAATTGGCTGTCGCTGGGAGTTAGATCTGCAGGACGTCTTGGATTTGGCCAAGCAAGCCCGAGACACTGGAGACGTAGCCCTGTCGCAGAAATTGATCCAGCGTTTGGACCATCATCGTCACATGGAGAACATTTGCGCATCTGAGGAGTTGCGTTCTTTGAAGTGGCTGCCAGCATCACGACCAAACTCTACCAATCTGGAACTGATGGCTTCAAATGAAGGAGTTTGGCAGCACAAAGCCAAACCTTGGGTGGGTCTGGTGAAACCTCTGGTAGATGCACATGCTTCTGAAAGGGTGCTCAATGCTCTCACGGTTCCCGGAGAGAAATGTGTTGATGATGCTGTTTTGTATGAGCAGCTGGCAGCCTGCATCAAAAGCGACGGCGACCAAGAGAGCAAAGTACAGATGATCACTCCCATCTACCAGCGTTTGAAGAGCACTCCAGCAATTGACAAGTGGGTATGGACCGCATGCGGCTTTCAATCCCTTGTGCATATCTCCAAAGATCCTGAAGTAGAGGGGCTGACCCCATGCCTTCATCGTTTGAGGGACGATTGGCATTTTCTCCCAGTCTTTGAGAGTGCAAACAAGAAGCTCACACCAGAAATGCTTCTGAACTGCTTGGACATGTCTGTCGAAATTCCATCAGAAATTCGGCACAAGGTGCAATTGACTGCCATCAACTTGCTGACGCACAGAGCATCTGAGGGTTCTGAGTCGCCAAAGCTCTCTGATCTTGCTCTGGCGTGTGGCTCGACATTGCGAATCATCACCAGAGAGGGCAATCTTCTCCCGGTGACGAGTGTCTTTTTTCATGACATGAAATGGCAAAGTCGCAGCGAGTGCCCACCACAGATGGAAGAGGTCCACGAAGACATTTCCCAGTCATCCTGTTTGCGGTTCGGAGTGCGGAATCTTTCTGAAATTGTAGCTGCACAGTGCGGTTGTGGAGAAGGGGATTGGCTTGAGGTGACTGGTCAACAAGAATCACTCACCACCAGATTGAAGGGAATCCTCAAGGACTACCCTTGGCAGTCTCTTGTGAAAGAGATGCTGCAGAATGCTGAGGATGCTGGGGCTTCTGTCTTCAAAGTTCTCATCGACCGTCGACCCCGTGGAGAAGAATCTTTGCTGACACCGGAGATGGCTGCTTTGCAAGGCCCTTGCCTCTGGTTCTTCAACGATGCAGTCTTTCAAGACAAGGATTTTCAACGCCTAGTGAGTTTGGGGCAAGGAAGCAAGGCTTCTTGGCAGCCAAGGTGAGCCGTGTCTGTTTGATTTTTCATCCTTTCCACTTGGAAGAAGTTCTCCTTAAAAGGCACCACCGCCAAGCTGCCGTTGTTGATCCAGTTGGGGGTTTCTATGGTTTCTCAGGCCATGGAGAAGGGGAAGATTGGACGTCATGGCCTTGGCTTTAATTCCATCTTCAACATCACAGATCTTCCATCCATTCTCAGTGGTGAGTCGCTTGGCGATTTTGAACACAAACCGAAAAATCGGCGAAGATATGCAGCAGGGCTGGTTGCAAAAAGAACATCATGACAATAAACTTATACATATATATACATAATATATATATAGATATAGATATAGATATAGATATGGACCTTCATGATCCCTTATGGGCCTTCAAATAAACTAATTGTATATTTGTATATAGTAAGCGATGGACTTTTTCTGTTAGGAGTGGCATGGTGTGCAAACTTGGCACTGAGGCATCTCCTTTTCCTCGATCCCCATGTGAAGCATTTGGCGAAGCTTGGCGCCAATGTCCTGAGGCCTGGCGTCCGATTGAACTTTTTGAAGAAGGCCTGGTGCTATGATTCCTGGATCATCTGAGCTGGAAACCATTGAGAGATCCCCAGTCACCATAGTTGTTAACCTATACTAAGTCATGGTTGTCGACGAATGGATGATTTTGGGGGTACACCCATGGATTGGAAACCTCCATATCCATCTGTATCAGTCTGTATCTGTTTTTGATGACCATGTGAAACTTCTCCAATGGTTTTACCTGTGTGGATACGCTTTCTCTTGGCAAGCAGTGGACTGGGCAGCAGGATGTCAAGACGTGCTGGCCAGATCAGTTCAGTTCCTACGAGTTAGAAGGCACAAGATGGGAAAGAGATGAACGATCCTTGGGCTCTCAGGGGTAGCGGTCAATTTTTGTGCTCATCCCCCAGAGTTGGATGGTTGATGCTTGCACTGACCTGCGAGTCTCAGATTTTGACTTACTGATGAAACATGTCGACGTACTTTTCATGGTGCCACGGTCGGTCAACGTGTCTTTGCAAAAAAGTCGCCAGTCCAGAAAAACAAAAAGCTGGACAACTGTTTCAGCTATTTTGGTGCAATTCTCAAGCATACCAGGCTGCTCCTAGGGTTCTTAGAGTTCTCGTGATGTCTTGCAGAGTCCTGAACCAGTGTTTCTCATGCAGCCGTCCCTTTAAGTATTAATTAACCATGCTCAAATTGCGAAGACGGCACATGGATTTGCTTGCTTCCTGTTGGTTCTTGCATTGAAGGAATCCACGCATGACCCAGCATGGCCCAGCATGGCACCCCGTCCAGGCTGTCAACTGTCGAAGGGCCACTTTCATGGGACACTCATCCGCGCACCCTTGCGACGGCGACCCAGTGACATCAGCAGGGATTCGTTTGAGGATGAAGATGTCCAGAAGCTTGTAAAGTGGATAGAAGATGATGGTTGTGACTGGCTCTTGTTTCTACGAAACGTGGCAAGACTTGAAGTCATTGATGTTTGCAGCCAGAAGGTCCGGCTGTGCCAAAGATGCCCAAGTAAGTGCACATGTTTTTAAGACCTGGGGTGAGTTCCGGTGGCCGGGTTTGGGCTCCAGACCTCCAGACTTCCCAAAACTGAAGGTGCTTGCAGCCTTCAGCAGAGAAGATTCCCAACAGCAAGCAATCATCTCTAGCGCTGGCACTGGCGTGGTGAGAAAACGCAAATATCACATGGGTCACGTGGCACTTCCACATGGTGAAGACATCTCCGTGGCGCTTCCACAGGCGGAATTTGCAGAGCATCCAACATGAGAACTGTCTTTTCCAGTGGAGTGTATATCTATGTATATCTAGTTATAGACAGATAGATAGATAGATAGATAGATAGATAGACAGACAGACAGATAGATAGATAGATAGACAGACAGACAGATAGATAGATAGACAGATAGATAGATTGATAGATAGACAGATAGATTGATAGATTGATAGATTGATAGACAGGCAAACAGACAGACAGATATAGATACATAGACAGACAGACAGATAGATCGATAGATAGATATAATGTAGGCTTTTCTTTTGCACTTTTTTGAGGCACGCCATTTGGAAACATGACATGATGTGGACAGCCGCCGACGCCAAGAGGAGCTTTCTGAAGTGCCGTCGGGAAGGTTTTTCTGCCGACTTCCTCTGGAGGTGCCATCGGGCATGCCTGGACACCTTTCAGCGCTCTTCTGGACCAGCACGGACAGAAGGACTTTGGTGGTGGATGCAGACAAAGATCAAGGACACTGGGCTGCTGAGAACAGACGGTTGTTGCAGATGGCTGTCAAATGCCTCGCCTCCTTGTTGGCCAAGAAGGCTGCAGCTCAGAAGTCAGTGCCATTGAGCTACTTTCCTTCTCATACCCAGCCGAGCCCGGCGGCAAAGCTTTTGCATGAGCTCTTCTATCAAGAACTTGTGCAGAGAATCAAGACATCAGACAGTGAGCAGGTGCTGTTCACCGTCGCTGGCCAGCCAGCATGCCTTCCCTTGATCCTCTTGAGCATGCCACAAGATCTACCGTCAGCTCTGCAGAAGCTCCAGGCTCCAGTGGTGGTCGTCAGCGAGGTCGTTCTGCAAGGCCTGCAAGGTGCAGATCCATCCATTTTTCAGCCGCTGAGCCCTGCATCCTTCAGGCGCAGAGATCAAAAAGAAAACACAAGTTCAGTCTAGATTCTAGCACCACTTGGGATCTAGTCAACAACTCTTTCCCTGCTTCTGACCCAAAGATTGGAGATAGTAGGTGCCATTTACCTACTGGACCTGCCAACTTTTCGATTGCCTGTGAGGTCATGGTTGCGACAGTTGCCGGTGGAACTTCACCAGTTCTGTGACCAGGAAATCTTGATCTTCGCGCTTCAGGACGGAGCTCAAGGAATCCGAAAAGCCGAGGATTTGGACGGATGCCCATTGGCTCTGACTGCAGATGGGAAGGTGCGCGTTTTGCAAAAACGACATAAAAATCATGCCACATATGTCACATGAATGCATTCAGATCGGATTATTCTGGGTTTCTCTTTTAAGAGTCTCAAATGAAGCAGTAAGAACATGACCCAATCACATCCCTCATGGAAGGTGAAGCGCTTCTCATCTTCAAAATATGCCACACCTTGCTTTGTGTGCTGCAGAACGGATGAGGAAAGTGACATTGCTCGCCACTTTCCCTCAGAGGTGGTGCTGCAGCACGTTCCATCCATCAGTGAGGTGCTTCTGGAACATCCGCAGGTCCAGAAACTGGATAGGAGCGCGGTGGCCAAATTTGGTGCCGCCGCCCGTGGTACTGACTGGGCCAAGTCTTTCTGGACCTGGTACCGGAGGCAGTGCGTCACCAATCCCGACTTGAAACTGGACCGAGGCGCTCAACGGCACATCTTCGATGACCTGGAAGTGCTATGGCACCAGGAAGCAGATGGATCCGTGACGCTGAAACCTCTGCGGGAGCGGAGGCGGGCACTTCACTGCGAAGATTTGGAGGCTCCGGTGGTCGCATGCCTCAGGGCCTGCAACGTTTTGGTGGTGTTGAATTGCGATTGCCCTCCAATTGATCACCATGATGCGTTGGCCCGTGCCCTATCTTGGGCATTGAAAAGTCGCCGGGAACGCATCACTGGCGTCCAAGATCAAGGCTGGCGTGATCTGCTCAAGATCTTGATCAAGTCTGAATTGCCAGAGGCCTTGGAAATGGCCAGAGTTCTACCACTTTTCAGGAACTGCGGGGGAACATTGGTCACACCTGACCGTCAACTCTTTCCACTGAGGGTCAGCCCAGAATTCCGAGTGGCGGTGGCACCGCTGTCTCTGGAGCTCTTGTCAGAGACGGATGGCAGCATCGTCCCATTCCTTTCACGCCTGAGGGTCACAGAAGCTCGTGCGATCGTTGTGTTTCGGATGATGGTTTGAATTCAAGATAGGCACCGGATGCAGCACAATCCATTCAAACATATGCAAAGCATCAATGAAGAAGGTGTTGTTTCTGGATTTACTCTGAAAATCCAGCACTTGTTTCAATCCCAGACATGTTTCGAGATGATCTTCGCCCCAGTGATCCCAGAGAAATCACAATGTCTGGAAACATGGTAAAAGACCCAAACCCCTGCTGGTTCGTTATTTGTATCTAACATGGTTGGTTATTGTAGCCACATCTTATCCTTGAAATAGCTTGAAATCACGAGATGGTGATTGGCTTTATACAAGATCGATATACATGATATACACATTTTACATTCATTTCAAGATATGTTGACATTGATTTCAACTTTGTTTCCTTCAGTCCTTGCGAGGAAATGGAGCCCGCAGAAGTGGCTCGCAGGGCGCTTTGCCAAGAGAGCTCCGTCTCGTTCCTGGCGCAGCTTCTCCGCGAGAACCTGGGGGAAGTACTGCAAGGGATGCCCGTGTTCCCCGTGCTGAAGGGATGTTTGCCCCTTGGAAACCAATGGTGATTGGGAGGAAGCTGGTGATTGGGATGCTTTGAGAATCATCAGGTTGGCGAATGATGATACTTTACCCAAGGAGATCATTTTCAATTTTCAGCAAATATTCAGATATTCATGATATTCATGTAGATGTTAGCATGAATAGCAGCACTTCAGAATCACCTATCCATCCACATCAATATCAGCTAGGTATGTGAGGCCATTGGAGCAGTGTTTGCTGTGGGACGCTGAACCGGATTTCGATTTCCTGGAGAGGTGCCATGACCCCGGCGTCAGATGGCCATGGGGGTTAGCCCTATTTCAGAATCTCCGGAGTTCCGATATGGAGGTTTCCATAGTCATGGTGGTACCCCCATAGCTGGATGGTTTTTTTGGTGGAAAAACCAAATCTAAAATGGATGATGCCTTGGGGTAGCCCCATGACTCAGGAAACCTCCATTTAAAAAAATACTTCACTTCGAATGATCCCCACCATGGCATTTATACATTTTCTTACTGGCAAATCTTCTGGCATTCTATCTGACATATCTTCTGGCATTCTATCTGGCATTCTATCTGGCATATCTTCTGGCATATCTTCTGGCATATCTTCTGGCATATCTATCTGGCAAATCTTCTGGCATTCTATCTGGCATATCTTCTGGCATTCTATCTGACATATCTTCTGGCATTCTCTGGCATTCTATCTGGCATATCTTCTGGCATTCTATCTATCTTCTGGCACTATATCTTCTGGCATCTGACATATCTGGCATGGCATTCTATCTGGCATATCTTCTGGCATTCTATCTGGCATATCTATTCTATCTGACATATCTTCTGGCATTCTATCTGACATATCTTCTGGCATTCTATCTGGCATATCTTCTGGCATATCTTCTGGCACATCTATCTTCTGGCATTCTATCTGGCATATCTTCTGGCATTCTATCTGACATATCTTCTGGCATTCTATCTGGCATATCTTCTGGCATTCTATCTGGCATATCTTCTGGCATTCTATCTGGCATATCTATCTGGCATATCTTCTGGCATTCTATCTGGCATATCTTCTGGCATTCTATCTGGCATATCTTCTGGCATTCTATCTGGCATATCTTCTGGCATTCTATCTGGCATATCTTCTGGCATTCTATCTGACATATCTTCTGGCATATCTTCTGGCATTCTATCTGGCATTCTTTCTGGCATTCTATCTGGCATATCTTCTGGCATATGTTCTTGCATTCTATCTGGCATATCTTCTGGCATTCTATCTGGCAAATCTTCTGGCATATCTTCTGGCATTCTATCTGACATATCTTCTGGCATTCTATCTGACATATCTTCTGGCATTCTATCTGGCATTCTATCTGGCATTCTATCTGGCATTCTATCGGGCATATCTTCTGGCATATGTTCTGGCATATCTTCTGGCATTCTATCTGGCAAATCTTCTGGCATTCTATCTGGCAAATCTTCTGGCATTCTATCTGACATATCTTCTGGCATATCTTCTGGCATTCTACCTGACATATCTTCTGGCATATGTTCTGGCATATCTTCTGGCATTCTATCTGGCAAATCTTCTGGCATTCTATCTGGCTGTTGAGGTCCGGCAGTGCCCACTGGGATCTGGAGCTCGCGGTGTAGGTCCGGCAGTGCCCACTGGGATCTGGAGCTCGCGGTGGAGGTCTGGCTGTGCCCACTGGGATCTGGACTGGGAGGAGGAGGATGAGGAGGAGATGGAGGAGGAGGCGGAGGAGGAGGAGAACAGCTCTGATAAAATCTAACAACCCTCACCTGGCAGGTGGGGAACCATCAATTTCTCACCATCAAATTTAGGGGTACCACACTTTGCAGAATTGGAGGGACATCACTGCAAATGTCAATAACCAGATCGAGACATCACTGCAAAAATTGCTGGGCCTTTTCTAGCCACAATTCGTGGAAGGTGGATCGGAGCCATGATATGAAGTGGTCAAGGTTGAACCCAGTAACCCCACTTAACTGGCATGATCCATAGCAGCCCATGTCATACCCGATGTCCTGGATGACCACAAAATTGGCTACAGCTGCCGCACCACAAAATCCCAGTTCCAATGGGGTTAGAGCTGCAGAGAGCGGGAGACAGTACTTTCAACTAGGATGCATAACTTACGAAGAGGTGGGTCCCCCAAATAATGTCAATTGCACATTTCAGCCTTTCTGTTGCAACTGTTTGAATCCAGGGTCGACCTTAATTTCAGCTATTCCAGCTGCATTCGTCTACAGTACCCATCTCCTAGATTCACAGCTAGATTTCTTGGTCCATTGGAGAAACCCAGCGCCTTCCGTTCAGTTTCCCCTGCTGGAGAGGCGTCTATCTCCAGAGGTCCGGGACGTCTTTGAGGAGCAGTATGACAAGCTGTCGCTGCGCTGCCGGAACAAGTTGGACGTCTGCGATGCGGAGGAAATTGCCAGGATGGTGGTACGGAAGAAAGATCATGAGCTGTCCAGGAAATTGCTGAAACGGCTTAGCCAATCAGAAGATCTGTGTAAATCCTCTGCACTTTCGGAGATTCCATGGCTGCTGGTGGATATGGAGGGCCAAACAGGTCTGGTGGAACCTCGTTCAGCTTGGCACCAGGATGTGAAGGATGTGCTGGGTCTTGTGAGACCAATTGCGGAAGGACCAAAGAGCACACTGAAACTGTTGCAGGTGAAGTTCGAAGAAGACCTGGATGACAATGTCTTGAAAGAACAGCACCTCGGTTGACTAGTGTTTGCAGCCAGGGCGGGACTTTCTTTCTATTTCTATTTTGTGCAAAGCGCAATCCCACCCGTGGGAACAAATGGATCTGGAGTCATTATCAATACAAGAGTTCAACAGCATTTCTGACATGTCCGTGTATTTCCGATATTTCCGCTGACTCCCACCTGATTCCAAGGCTGGAAGCTTTGATTCAACGAGCTGCAAATCAGCATCGTGTGGATGCAAAGGATTGCGAGCCAATCTACAGGTGCGAGCCGTGTCCCGCAAATGCAACCAGATAAAACCACCCATGCACATGTTTTTCTGAGGATCTATATACTGTAATACATCTGTAATACTAAATGGATTTGTCTGAAAATAGGGTAATTCAAAAGTGGATGATTTCTCATCATATTCCCCATTCAATTGCTATCTAAATCGGAAATACTCCATTTTTCTCCTACCCCAAATCAGTTCCTTCTGATCCCATTTAGGCGCCTGTCTCAAGCACCTACGTTGGGATCATGGATTTGGACCGAGCATGGCTTCGCCTCGTATGAGGACGTGTTTAAGCACTCAAGGGCCCATGCATTGCAGCCTTTCTTGCATACCCTACAGAGTGACTGGGTCAGCTATGAAATCTTCAAAGACATCCAGCAACAGCCAGAAATCCCCAAGCTGCTACAAGTGCTATCAGGCTTGAAGAAGCTGCAAGGGGAGGAACCTACCAATGTGCCATCATCCTTTGCAACCAGCACGGAGCCTTGTGCCGAGCATCGGCTTCTAGAAGTTGCCTGCGTCGCCTTAAAGTACTTGTATCAGGAGGCTGGATCCAATGAACTACCAGAGCTTGGTACGCTGGAATGGGTATCAAACATACATGCTTTTCTAAAGTGATACCTATAGGCATTCTAGTACATTATACTGATTGAAACACCGTATGACAGTTACTTTTTTGCCACTTGCTGTCAGAGATCATCAGCTTGCCCAGTCCAAAATGAACTTGTAGGTGGACAGTCTACCAGAGGAGCATGGGCAAGAGGTGTTGATGGGCTTTCGACAGCAGCATGGACAACATGTTTGGATCCCCGCAGCAGATGGAGTCTTGCGCCTGGCAAACCAGTTGCTTGGTCTGCATTTTTTTTTGGTGAATGGGAGACCCCAAGTTATCATCTGAGGTCTTGATTGGTCACTTTCAATAGGGGAAACCAATGGTGATAGCAGGGGTGGATGCGAAGTGCGACCAGTTCTTGTTTCCCCCTTTGAAACCAGAACCTTGATGGACTGGTGCTTATTGGTGGTCTATGGTGGTCTCATTCTTAGGGGATCCAACTTGATCCAGTTGGATCTGGTCAAACCATGACATTTGGTAGCTCCACGGCCGTGCCACAGCCAGGTTATTTGTCCACGACATGCCTTGGGCCTCGAGTCAACCGCCGGCTTTTCTCGGTTTTCATCGAGTGCATTCAGAGGTCCCTGCAGGTGGAAAGGGCAGATCCAGCGGGGCTAAGGAATATATCGGCCGTTACCCAAAAGGTAGGGCAAGAACTCCGGCCATTCAGTGGACTTCATAGTTCCAAGCCTGTTGTGAAGCACGTGACCACCATTCTTTCAGATTCAGCCGCTGGTTCCGGGCGCGGAGTTGACCAAGAGTTGAAATGTTGCACGACTGGTTGCCATCCTTTAACGGGATCTGTTGCTATGAAGGTCGGTCAGTTGACTCTGGCTCCAAATCATCCAAGCTATTGGTCGAACATTGACCAATGGGGGAACCACCAGTGATTCGGATGAGGTTTTTGGAGAGAACCCCATGGGTTACACCATGTTACACCACCCAAAAAAGGTGTGCCGGCTGGGGCCAGGTCATGCCCGAGCATTTGGTGTCGAAGCCAGCAGCGTCTTGCTGCTTCGGATGCTTCAGAAGGATCCAGTTGGACTGCGAGATCCTGCCATGGAAGTGGCTCAGCGACAAAAAATATGCCTGGCAGGTAATCGAACATGGCTAGGTAAGAAATCCTTGAACTAAATGAAGGTTTATAGCTGGGAATGTCATTTATAAATGAGATATTTTCCATTGCCAGGGTTTTCTCTTTGGGCTGATTTTGGGAGGGCGACAATGTCAAGTTAACGTTGAATCCAGCTAGCACTCTGTTGATTTTCAAGTCCTCTGGGCGTTCAGATCTCGACTTGTGTTTGTTGACATGCTCACATGGAGGATGCACTTTGCATCGTGATAAACACACACCAGCTCCCAGCTCCCGTGTGTTATATATACATATGTATACACATACTAGATCATATCACTTATGGATGTAATGTCCTTCAAGTTTTGTGAGTCTGCGATTTGACGCAGCTTTTGGGGTCAAGCCTTGTATGTGGGAAAAGATAGCGTTCATCCCATTTGCTGTTCAGAACCTCTTTTGCCCAAATAGAACCTCCGACACCTTGCTCCTTGCACTACTTGCCTGGATCTGCGGTGTGGCGTTCGGTGCTGCAATCACTGGCCTGGCCCTTAGTCCCTGGTTGCGCAAGTGCCTGGTACGAGCTGCGGCCTTTGCATTGCAAGAGGCAGTGCCTGTGCCTGATCCTGGGGTGCGCCTCAGGACTGATCGACTGGAAAGGTATAGGCATTAGTGTATGCCACCCACTGTCCCATTGGTTGACCGGATCAAGTCTGTTCTGGCCAGTGAGGGGATTTCCATTCAGGTTTTGGCTGGGGGTGAATCTGATTCTGTTGCTGTTACTTTGATAGCAAGGGATTGGGAACTTGTGGACCCATCCGCTGATAGCTCTGCTCCTGCTGGATCCAGCAGTCCTCCTGGTGCTACTCCGACTGTCCCTGAACCTGGATTTTGGTTCGAACGCACTGTGCCTGCTGCGCTTCCTAGGAGGCTCTTGCATCTCAGTGAGCGTTTGGTGGGCGGTTGCTCTTTGAGTGGGAAGGAGCGCCTTGAACTGGCTTATTCACGTGGTCGTCAAGCTTCTGCTATCGCTCGTGGCGAGATTGGGGCTTTCACTGGTGACCGCTGTCCTCTCAAGAACAGGTGCTACATTGCGCTTCATTGGGACCAGCCAGATCGCTCATTTTTCACTTGGCAATACTCCACGTATATCGCTGCTGTTGGGACTGCGGACGGTGGTTTTGATTTCAGCACCGTTTCGCACGGATTTGCATCTCGATCTGAAGCCCTCGCTTTCGCTTTGGGAGCAGGCTTCAGGGAGCTTCCTGAGACCAGATGATGTCAGGGCTTCCTGAGGGAACCCTGACCTGTGAAGATCCCTCGGGACCTTCGCTGCTGTACTTTACCTATCAGGACTCATGTTGCGAAGCAGTGGTTATTCGTGTGGTGGAGCAAGGGTTGCTACTCAGCATCCCCAGTGGTGGGATCGATCCTCAAGTTTTCCGAGCTGCAGAAGACGAAGGGTATCCTGGCCTGTTAGGGCCTTACACCGAGGTGGCTTGCAAAGTTCATCACCCGCGTGCTCGCCGGACTTTGAGCGTCCTCATTTTCGACATCGATGCCTTCGACCTTTCATGCCTCAGTGCGGAGCTGCCCGCGTTTTTCGACCAGGGGGCAGTCACTCGGTTTGGGTCATATCGTGGAGCCCCAGACTATCCTTCAGGTCCTCATCTTCTTCAACTTGCCGACAACTTTGTGCGAGCAGGTGGAGTTCGGTTGGACCACTACTTCTCCGCGGTGGAGGAGGGTCCAGCTGCCGAGGATGGCGGAGATCTTTCTGGTGCAGACGAGCAGAGCGTTTTACTCAAGCGTCTCCTTGCTCAATCCGAGGTGACCCAACGCACGGTGACGGGCATGAAGGACAAGATCGAGACTATTGGTCGATTGGAGGCTCGTCTGGATCGTTTAGAAGGCGGAGGCCCTCGACCTGCACCTCGTCGACAGGCGGCGAGTTCTCCACAGCTTTTCGATCTCGAGGCGCCTCAGATGGACACTGCACAGTTGGACCGTCTGAAAGGCCTTGCAGGGAGAGGACCAGGGAAGCTCGCAGACATTGGGGCATCTGCAAAGTCTATGGCCGTAGCTCCCACTGGCATTACCGCGGATGCCGCGGAGGAAGACCTGGACGGGGAGCCCCTCGAAGCCGAAGGCAGCGGCACGCTGGAGAAGCTCTTGAGCTCCCAAACGTTGCTCCTTCAACACTTAGTGCAGGCGAAAACCAGGCAGGCCGATCCTTTGTCGATGCTCAGCGTTGGCCCATCCCTGGAGTCCGACGACATGCCCAAGAGCTCAGGAGTTCGAGGGATTGCTGCCCGGCAGCTGCTGGTAGAGTCTTTTCGGCGACAGCCTTCCAAGGTGGTTCAGATCTTCAAGGAGAGGCTTATGCTGGCAAGGCGGAAGGGCAGCATTTCGGAGCTGGAACCTCGAGACCTGTGGTACCACTTCCAGGATCAAGTTCCCTTGGGTTCCCATCGAACCCTCACTCACATGAGCTTCATAGCGGCTGCCATGTACGAAGCCATGGAGAGAGGAGACTTGGAGCGTGTCAAAATGCTCGTTGTCATGCAGGCGGTGTTCACGGAGCAGGCATGCTACGACGGGGGCGGTCTCAGGATGGCTCACCTGCTGACCGGGCTGGACGACCCACCATTCAGTCAGACCGAGCTCCACAGGACAGCGAACCCTTTGTATGCTCACGGCCAGTTGGCCGATCCGCGATGGGTGGCAGCGAACCTTGCATACCTCAAGGATTTGGAAGGCATCTCAGAGAAGAGCGGGAAGTACGTCCGACCTCAGGGCAAGGGCAACGAAGCTGCTCAGGGAGACGACACTTCAAAGAAGAACGGCAAGCAGAAAAAGAAAGGAGGAAAGAAAGGCGGCTCCGAAGCTGTGGAAGAGGAGGGGTGACGCCTTCCCCTTCACTGCCTGTGGATTGCGACGAAGTTCGTGGTCCTCCTGGGAAGGATTCATGCAGTGCCAAAGCACCTTTGCCTGATTTTATTTCTTCTTTGGATTTTGGGGCAGATTTAGTCAAAACCATTTTCAATAGCCGAACTCCTTTAGGGAATTTTTGTCGTCAGTTTATGACCCTGCATGTGATGGGGGGTAGCCACTGCCCTTCTAAGCAATTGTGGCCATGTCCAGTTCCAGAGAGCTTGACACCGGCTACCGAGCTCATTTCTGGCAGGCGCCGGAGCAGATTTCGCCTCCGTGCTGTAGTGAGAGAGCATTTGCGTGTTTTCATCTCTGCATGCAATTGGTTGGTTACCGGCAGAAACAAAGCCGTATCTGGTCCTAGGCAGCCTATGTCACCTTCTCAAATGCGAATGGTTGACGAACTGGAAACTATGGTCCGATTGTTTTACCGCCTGAGTCCAGGACCCAGCAGCGGCCTTGACAGGGCCCTGGGTAAAAGCACCAATATCCAGGACGCCTTGAGTTCCCTTTCGGGTGCAACTGCAGTATTGAGGAATGACCTAGATTCGTACTGCAGAGGGCGGTCTAGCCGCCGCAATTTTGATGATGTTGATTGCAGAGCCGACGTTGCGGAGTCCAATGAATTTTCGACTTCAAGTACCGGTTCAAGCCAAATAGGCACGGGTCTCTTTTTGCCTCCAGATGCTTTGCAAGGTGGCATGGCAGTAAAGTTGCAAGCTGATCGGATTGTGTTCACTCATTCTCCAAAGTTTGTTGCTTCTCGGTTTATCACTGACCCCCTCCTGAAAGCTGGATTTGAAGACCCGGCACACTTGCAATTGCCGAGAGAGGACTGGCCGAAAGCCCAGCCGGTTTCTGTTCTTTGCGACAGGGAAGAATTGCTTCGACTTTTCAAGAAGTGGGATGATGTTCATTCTTTCAGGCTTTTGGATAGCAGCTGTTCTGAAAGGCTTTACCACTGTGGATTGTTTGCTGTCTACAAAAACTCAGAAAAGGATCGCCAGATTTTGAACCCCATTCCTGAAAACGGTCGCAGCATGAAGATGAACCACTCGACTCTTTCCCTGTCACACGGTAGTTTGCTTTGCGGTATCTATCTGGAAGAGGACAAAGATCTGATCATTGGAGCAGACGACCTTGAAGATTTCTACCATTGCTTTGTTGTTTCCTCAGAACATGCACATCGCAACCATATTCACGGTGTCTTTCCCGCAGAGATTTTTCGTGGGTGGAATTGTTGGGATGAGCAGCTATCTGGTAAACATGTGGTGGGCTGTTTTTCTACTTTAGCAATGGGTACAGGTTTCGCAGTTGAAGTTGCTCAACATACTCACAGTGTTTTGTTGCAACGAGCTGGTTGTCTTTCCAATGATCAGTGGATCCAATATCGAAAAGAACTGCCTCGCGGCGACACGTTCCAGTTGCTTTGCATCGATGACTACGGCGTTTTGCAGAAAGTTCCTCGTGGAATACCTGCTGCCAGTCACCAAGCCAAGCGTGAAGACCATCGACTGTTGAACTTAGCAAACAATGCCTACAACTCTGTTGGTTTGAGAAGTTCCTCAAAGAAAGCTGTTCGTGATTCCTACAAGTGTACTTTGTTGGGCGGTGAAGTAGATGGTCGGCTTGGCTTGGTGAACGCACCGCGACTCCGTATTTTGATGCTCTGCAGACTCACTCTTCAATTGGTGAGTATCGGTTACGCCACCAAGCAGCTCCTGGAAACAATTATTGGATCTTGGATTTTTGTTCTCATGTTTAGGAGACCACTGTTGAGTTTACTTTCAGATGTTTTCCATGAAGGTGGTTCTTTGGGGCAACGTGAGATTTTTCAGCTGAGCACTGGTTCAAAACAAGAACTTCTTCTACTTTGTGTTGTTGCACCATTTGCCTATACGAATTTGAGAGCTTCTCCCATCAACAAAGTGTTTTGCTCTGACGCTTCAATGGCTGGTGGCGGAGTTTGTGTGGCACCCGTCAGCGAGAGTGTCACTCTTGAACTTTGCCGTGCTGCAGAACAGCGGGGTTTTTATACACGAATAGATGGCAGTGTTCTCGG